CCTCATTAGCTGTAATCCACATTATGCTCTCGTGAAAATGCCCAACGGCAGGGAAGAAAATGTTGCCATTCGATGCTTGGCCCCACCGGGTGATCTGCTGGTTTCAAGACCAGAAACCTGCGACCTGCCGGACAGTAAAACACACAGAATTAGAAACTCCGCCTCCTAAATCGACAGACAACTCACTTAATCATGGGATTCTTGACCCCTCCCCAGCCCCAACACCTGTGTCAGACAGTGCATCAGAAATCTTACAACAACAACAAAGAACGAGACCTTACAATCTACGGAACAGAGAAGCCTAGTTACCTTCTATTATTTTCTTCTTTCCTTCCAAACAAATCATTAATCTATAACGAACATCCTTTTCTCTCTGCCGGGGCGAATGTCGTGTTTGTTATTCGTTCTGTTTCTGTACGCNCTGTTAACCACGTCGTTCCTTTTGTTTTTCAGCCCATGTACTGATATTAATAGACGAGTAAAGCGTGTCGTTCCTGATCTCGTGTTCTCTCTCTCTATCCACGATCGTATTCGCTTGTTGTCCTCTGTAACAAGCGAGAAGGTTAGAGACGATGTTGATGAAACTAATTCCTCTGTGGTTTTCACGAGAGGATCTCTCACCCTTCTTGTAAATTTTTATGATCACCAATTCACACAATTCCGTTGGAACCTCTTCCCTCTCCCACGCTGAGCCCAGGAGCTTCGTTAACTCCGAGACCGCTCGCCACTATCCTCCTCGACTTCTGTCCCAGCAATACCCTGCCATTCGGAGCCGACCGTTCCATTCCTCCGACCTGAATCTGCGTTCAAACTAGCTATCAAGAGGACTAGCATTTTTGGCTCGCACGCTCGAAATTCCAGAGATTGATGTGTATTTCCTCTCGGAAACACGCATTCAGGATTCAAGTTCAGTGATCCGATTAACGTCCCCTTGCGATCCGAAAGAAGCGTTTCAACCGCGCGTTTCCGGGGTCCCTATCACACCAGTTTCTGGCCAAGCAGGCGTTGTTATTGCATTAAGCACCAGGACTGAGGCTGGTCTATTGGAATATATCCCGATAGATAGCCGACTATGCGCAGTGAGGCTCAGATGCTCAAGTAATGTCAGAAAAGCAGAAACCAAACGAACGGTGCTTATTTGTGGTTTCTTCATATGCTTCCGCAGACTGTAGCCTCTATAAGCTACATGTTGCCACAGAAGATTAGCAAATCCGTTGCTGCCAGGATAAACGACCAGGAAAGTGTGGGTGGGTGTGGTTCATAAGCCTCTTGGTTGGTTTGGAATCAGGGTTTTTAGCTGACTCCCCTAGGTGAATTGTCAATGGTTGACTGACCTGGTTATAGCTCCGGATGTTAGCTTGTCGTTCTCTCACTTTTGTGGGAAAACACCGACAGGAGAATACGGTGTGTAGGGTTTGCTCAGCAGAAGCCATTTGGCGCACTTGGTCGTATAGGAGCATTTCGTGAGGTGCAAGAGAGGGGTGCTCAGTCGCAACCCTATATACACCCCCCGACTATGCTGAGGCTTTCGAAGCCCATTTCTTCACATACCCTCAAAAAGATTGGTTTTTTCTGTGCCCTACTTTCCACGGCTAAACTGGTTGATGTATTATGTGGTTCGCCACTGTTATTCCCGGGGTATAGGTTGCCGCTTTCCATCACTGAACAGCAGGTCCTCGTGACCATAGGGTTCATCCCGTTTGCTGTTCATCAGGCTCAAGTGTGTAATAAAAAAAATAACAAAACACTCTCTCGACTTCTCCGATTATAATTATTCTTCTGTTTATAATGTAATGCCAAGGTAAAGATTGCTAATCTTTCCTGTTTGTAGCAACACGCTGGCTGATGTATTTCGTACATGTGATAATCTGTAGAGTTTGATTTGATGTTTTGAAAGTTGTCTGATCTGTTAAAAGTTCTACTGACCATATGCATATAAATTCCAGGTTGTTACGCACTTGCCATGGGAAAGTCATCACGAGACAAGCGGGATATTTATTATCGTCTAGCTAAGGAAGAAGGTTGGAGAGCACGCAGTGCTTATAAACTTATGCAGATTGACGATGAATTTGGAATCTTGAAATCAACAGGTAAGTTAGGTTTATTGATAATTTCCCCATTTTTTATTACATACAAAACGATTCACAGCAAAAAGGGTAAACCCCATAGTCAATGACAATGTTAGGCGGAAGATGTGTGGGGTTATATATATATATATATATATATATATATATATATATCACACTTCTGAGGTCAGACTGTGTGCCAAACAAATCATGATACAATAATCTTTGTGAAAAAGAAAGGCATTCCATAATTTGCATGTGGACGGAACACTGTCAGGTTGCCCCGGCCAAGGCACGTGAATTAACAACCGGAGCCTTTGGTTAGCCAAAGCCTGACCCATCATCATCATCATCGTCGTACAGCGAAATACAGTGAAGCGAACTTCGCTGATCGTTGCCAAACTCGCAATGCATACAAGGTTAGTGGTAAAATTTAAGGTGGACAGGGATTGGATCCATTTTGAGGGAGGGAGAAGGTGAGCTACTATGGTTGACACAGAGTACGCAATCGAACTCTGCATACATACCGTTTCAAGCATTCTGACTTGGTAAGAAACGACAACAAGAACGCCACTGCTGCCGGTTCGCTGCCATATCCCTCAATGTCTCCAACCAAACAGTTGTGGAGTCTTTCGGACCCCAACCTGGAAGGCGAGAGACATCCACTCTACCTAATGGCTCTGTGCATTTCTTCATGCCTCGTCTCCACGTCATCTGTTGATCTCCACGTGGTTTCCTCCAGCCCGGATTAGCCACAGCGAATAAGCGCGGTGCGGCAGACGATGGCTGGGCATACGCAATACGTGCCCTAGCCAGCGAAGCCTAGTAATTTGAATTCGGTGTGTTAGCAGGTTTATACCTGACAGACTCCCAAACACACGACGGCTTACCTCCACGTTACTAACCGGTTCGCTCCATCCAACGTGGGCTAAACTGCGTAAACACCGATAATCGAGAATTTTTAGTCGACGGATATCTTCTACTCGCAAATTCAGGGTCTCACAACCATAAAGCAGGACTGAACGAACGCTAGCACAATATACACGACCTTTTAACTTCAGTGAAGCGTCGCGTCTACGCCAAAGGTGTTTCAGTCCTGCGTATTCTGCTTGAGCCTGACCCGCAAGGCAGCGGGGCGGTGTTCGAAAACCGCAGTCCACTGGGGGCCGGGGGCCAGTTCATCGGATCGTTCGCCTTTTGGACGGGGTTAGACGTCCAAAGTGCCCAGTACACCTCAATGCCCAATCGAGCCGGTGACCACAACCGAGATGTGTGGTTCGTACGCCTCCTCTTGTTGGTTTGTAATCATGGTTTTTGGCCAACTTCCCTAGGTAAACCATCAGTGGCTCACCAACCCGGTTATAGCCCCTGATGTCGGCTATTCGTCCTCTCACTTTGGTAGGAAAACACCGCCACGAGGAGGCAGTATGGGGGAATACTCAAGCAAGAATCAACTTGGTAATCAAGTTTTGGAAAGAGTTAAATTATAAATGCTTGGAAACACGGACATGGGAAGAATGTTCCACAATTCCGCACTCCTGGGGGAAAAGAAGACTGGAAGATAAAGGTCCGACACCTGGAGTCAGAAACCCAACAAGAGTGACTACCCGCCTGAGAATAAGATGGATTATAAAAGGTCAGTAGGAGGGGAACCGCTGAAGTAAGTTCAGAAGAGCAGAAACCAAAGTAATAACGATAGAAAAGAGGTAACGAAGCAACTTCCTGCCGATGGGAAAGCGACTGCAGGTTGGAAGTTAAAGACAGTTCGTCGATCAACCGGATGGCCTTACGTTGAACACGGTCGAGGAAAGAAAGAGCGGGATACCACCGTACGTGACTGCAGTGTTCGAACTTTGTATAAAAGGAGATGCTTGGGTGTAAAGAAAAGCTTTGTACGGAATAGAAAACCGACTTTGCGTGCAGCGCTAGAGGCAAATGTGAGAGAATTTATGAAACAAAGGGACAGAAAGTCGAAAATCACTTGAGGAAAACGAAGGACATGTTATAGGGAAACGAAGAGGAGACACGTTTTTGGAAGCAACAAAATGCACATAATGGGTAAAACCCCATTCAGAGATGAGTCCGAGATCGGAGTAAGAGAAGCAGTAATGACATACGGATCGTGATTGATATTGGTAGTGGTCTGACTGGCTGTGGGGTAAGAAAGAGAACAATGGAGTGTCGTCATCGGCAAGGCAATCGATAAAAAGAGTATAGAGAGTGAGAAACAGTATAGGATTTTAGGGAACACCGGCATTCACGTGGAATGGCTGAGATTGGACCCCATCAGTTTCGACGGAGATGGTTCGCTTATTGAGGAAACATTGGAGCATCGATACGAAAGACAATTGGAATCCAAACGTGGATTATTTCAACGACAGACCCTCATGCTAAACGTGGTGTAAGGCCTTTGAAATGCCGAATGAGACCACGTGTGTTTCTCCTTGGTTATTGAGTGCGTATAACCAGGAATGCGATGTGAGCGACTTTAGGCCGCCCGTAGATCGATGAGGGCGAAATTTATATAGACAAACCGCGTTCGAGAAACGTACGCAGCTCGTGGGAGATCGTAGCTTCAAACACTTTCGGAGTTACAGGATTGAGTGATAAGCCGCTAGTTGTTTTGGGTCAGGAGAGTCACCACGCTTTGGGATCGAAGAAATAATAGCATTTTCCATGGAGTGGGGAAATATTTAAGATCTAGCGAAGAACAGAAAAGGCAGTGTAGAACAGGGGCTAAATCCGGGTCACACCTTTTTAGGACGATAGGACGAATGCCATCCAAACCGGGCGATTTACAAAAATCGAAACCACGAAGGGTTTGGTGGACGTTTGTGGTTTCTATGATAGGTAGAAAGGAGTGGCTGGATGTATAGCAAGAGAGTCGACAGATAGGTTGGAGTTGGAGGCAAACCGCGAAGAGAAGGCCTCTACCTTGTCGTGGGGTTCACAAACAAGAGTACCAGAGAAATTTAAAGTTACGAATCACCGATTTGTCATTCTGTATTTAATCTAACCTGTTGAATTTCATCGGCTTATTAGGTCCAGAGAAGGCTTGTTCAGTGTGCGATAAGTAATTCTGTTTGCACCTCATAAGTTCTCTATTCTGTTTGCTGTTGTTTTCGAATAGATGACAGCAGCACAGTGTGCAATACTACTGATTTGTTCTCTATTCAATTCCATATCAGGAAGGGGTGTTTCAATTGTTCCAGTGGTCTACTCATAGATCGAAGCTCATACCAGATTGTTCNTTTCTAGAGGCTGTTTCTAACACTAGCTTTAATTACTGACACTGAAAGAGTGGATCAGCTTGGAAAATTTGACCAGTTTAGCTACACTGAAAAACATAGGATAGACTTTTACATGGTAACGATGGAATATCGAGGGCTTTTTTGCAACTGTTTCACAAGGCAAGACAGATTTTGTTAACGAGCTTTTCTGAGTTTCGCTGTGCTCGACGTAAAATTATTCACTCTACGCAGAAAGACCGCAAGCGGTTCTGCACGGAAGTCACCATAAGCATAGAAGTGACAGATATCATGTACGATTTTAACAAGCTCATTGGCCACTCATGGAGCAAAAGAAATCAACCAAAATACGCGCTGCTTGATGTAAATCGGAAACTTATCCAAACTTATAGAATAGATAGAACACTGTAATCAGCTATTGAATCGTTGCTCAAAGGTGTTTTTTAACCTTTCCACTTAGAAGCATTCGAGGGCTTAGTATATACTATTGTCTACTCATTCAAACCAAAATCGTCACAACGGTGAACTTCTTGGAACGCAAAATAGCTCCCGGATAAGACAGTGTTCTCAAATAAGTCTGTCTCTACAACACTCGGTCGTTTCTAAATGCTGTTTGCTTCAATTTGTGAGTCTGACTCAATGCCTAAGGATCGGATCACCTAACTCTTCCTCTCTTTTCCAAAAGAGTTATAAAGCGAAATACGAAGACTATTAAAGAGTTCGTTTTATTGACCTAGCGCGGCGCTACTTCTGAACCGCTTCATAGTCGCTAGAGATAACCACACTTGTCTCAATAAGAGGGTGGCGGTCACAGGACAGAAAGTGAATAACAAATATTCATTCTGCAGATTTTCGGAACATCGCTACACGTTTCGAAAGCGGACAGTGGCGTACTTCGTTAGTTCCTGTGCAGCCTTCGATTCAGTCAGTTAGCCGTAGTTGTTGTAGTATCATAGCCACCAAGGCATTGTGCGGAAGGCTCATGGAAATTATAAGTGCATGGTACTCAAGCACTCGAGTGCGTATCCGTGCTTACAACTAGGAGTACGTAACCTTCGCCCTAAACTCCGAGTTTCCTTAATGTTTCTCACTCACCTATACTCTTTAATTCAAGGTTCAGTTGGATAATATCATACGGTGCAGCAGGGTTCCGATGCGCGGACTGTGGACCTGGAATTCTCATAATCGTTTTCGAGGACACTTCCGAAACCAGCCAACTCGGTCATCAATCACATCAATGGCATTGCCAAAGTTATCAGACTGCGGGTTAAATCTTCAGCCTACTCATCTAGATTTTTATTTTATATTTCATTTTTCACACTTCTGAGTTCAGACTGTGTGCCAAACAAATCCCAGTACAATAATCTTTTTAAAAGGAAATTGGGTCATCCAGATTGATAACGAACCAATAAAAAAATAACAAATAGTCGAATAACTTGACTCTGGGATTCAATCCAACGGCCAAGTTGCATTGCGGGTCAACAGCGCCCAACAATTTTTCTCGGCAGACATTGATAGCATTGTTGAAGCACACCCCAAGGCATAGTTCACGATTTGGAGTGATTTTAACATCATTAACAGGGATTGGCTGTTAAACTGTTCAGGGACTTCTCCCCTTGGATGTGAAGCAGAATCATTTGCTCGATTAAGCAACCTTCACCAACTGATTGATTTCTCGACCGTGCTGGCGACCATGCTCGTACACTCACTCTTGTCGTCACACCCAGCCCACGGTTACTTTCAAATATTGCCGCAATTCTCCTCAGATCATCAAACTTATTATCTTATTTCTCCCTCTACCCCAATTATCTGTCCCGCTCTTCCTCCCAATCGTAGACGTACGTTCTGGCGGTACGGTCCCGTTTATCGGTGCAGCTTTCGTAACTTTCTGGCTTCCTACCCTTGGAATAACTGTCGCTTCTCCACTTATGTTTCCATCTCGGCTTCAAAATTTCCCCAAGTTCTTTTACAAGGCATGCCTGTTTATTCCTCGTCTCACTTAACCCGACAAGCCTTTATCTCCAGATTGGTTTAACTACGCCTGTTGTCGCGCTGTTCGTAAAACGAAAGCTTCCCAGCGATGTTTCTTACAAGCACGCAATAACTATACAGCCATCATTCAGAAGGCTAAGGAGCAACTTGTTGAGCACAAACCAGCACAGTTAGCAACCGCCCCCTCTGGAAGCCGAACGTTTTGGTCACTTGCTAAGGCAATCTCCCACACATTGCTAAATCATCTGGCGACTTAGTTTCCTACCTACTTGAAAAATTCGAAGTGTTTTCCTCCAGTTCTACCCTGCTCGAATCATCCATCCAACCCTCCACAAACCCTACAGAGAACCCTCTTTTCACACCACCCATTTCCACCAGAAAGGTGCGTCAGTTCCTCTTACCACTGGACCGACACAAGCTACATGGACTCGACGGGATCCCTCTTATCGTCCTCAAAAATGCGCTTCAGAATTGGCTGCTCCTACGCCGCTTTTTCTCTCTTTCCCTCGATTCTGAGGTCTTCCCAACCTCAGAAATATTTCCGATCCCCAAACGCGGCAACTACTCAGACCCAAACAACTACCGCCCCATCTCTCGCAGGTATTTCAAAGTTTATAGAATCAGTCATTGCTGATCAATTCCGCCACCACCTGGAGCAGACCATGACTATTAGCGACCGTCTGAGCCTTATGTCTGCTTGGAGCTGTCGCAACCGTGTTCTCTTTTAATGAGAATAAGGATTCCTATGTGCCACTTTCTCTTGAACTCGCATCTTTCCTTCATTAAATTTTAACTGGAGCCTTCTCCGTTCCTCAATTTCATGCAACCTATTGGGACTTTCCTTATCTTTTCCGTTACGGCCATCACATATTTATCTACTTCTTTACCGCTCTGCGTGCAAAATCGGCCTTCTGTTCCGTGCCAGAAGTTTCTTCACCCCCGTTCAATTGTTGCTTTACAACCCTCAGATTCGCCCTACACTTGAATACTGTAGTCTTGTGTAGGTGGAGCTTCGCTCACCTTTCTTTTCTTGATTGGGTTCAATGTGAGGCCATTCATTTCATCAACGAGCCGCCCTAACATGTAATTTGCAGTCACTCGCTCACCGTCGGACAGTCGCTTCTTTATCCTTATGCTATAGATACTACTTAGGATTTTTCTCTAGTGAATTTACCGATTCTGTCCTTCTCCTGCTTGTTCTTCCTCGTAGATCCCATACACAAGCGGTTAGCCGTCCTTTTCAAATGACTATCCCCCATGTGTCACATTTCTAACCTTCAGTTATTTTTTCACAAGAACAGCAGCATAACAATGGACTACTCTCCCTCTTTCAATCTCCTTTCCAGCTTACAATATCCTTGCCTTTAAACGCAGAATCAAAAAACTGATTCTGGTTTTAATGTTCCCTTTACCTTCCCACGTATAGTACATTCTTGGATTATGGGGTTTACTCCATTTACTGTATTCACTTACGTGGAATAAAAATAATTGTGCAACGACATAAGATTTTATTGAGCCACAATGAGATGTACCTGCGCACTAATTCCTTCAAGCTACCATCAGTCCCGTCAGATACAACTATGGGACCTGGCCAGTCGTCTGCGTATGTTGAAAATATAATGTGACTACCGATTTGGTCAGAAAACTTGTTTGCCGTCGGCAGTCTTACTTTAAATCAGATCTTTTCGGACAACAAAACGTGAAGGACAAGCTCATGCCCAGCAATTCGTAAGTATGCTGATGACTAAAACAGGCAGAAACAGAAAGGTGAGGAGCAATAAATCACAGTCCTTACACACGTGTGTCAAACCGATCACTACGTCACATGTTCAAGTTGTTCCACACCAAAATTGATTTTCTCACTTGTAGTTCTGTTTTTATATTTCTCTTTCAACCCATGGTTATTTTAGGGCTGTATATGTAGAAGTTAGTGCTAAATAATAACCGATAACCAGCGATGAGGCGATCACAAATCCGGAGTCGTCTGTTGCTAAACGCTTAATGACACCATTGACCGTATTCCGTCTTTCAAATCACTGCGATGCTAAACCCTTGACCACAAGTGAAGCGTTCCTTAATCGATTGCTTTGCTCGAGTTGTGAATGCAGTCGGTCCACTAACTGTGGAGTTGTCCCTTCAATTCTATTTTTTGTAATCTGTTTTTGCATGTACACGTTTGTTGATCCCAAAATTATTTAATTCTCACGATAATAAATGCAACTTTGGCTCTGACTTTTTAGATGAGGATCCGTTGCTACGCGTCGTTGACTTGTGTGCTGCACCCGGCAGTTGGTCCCAGGTACTGTCCAAACGCATCTGGGAGCCCAAGTCGGCAGAGGAACGTAAAAAGGTGTGTGCTTTTTGTTCACTTCACGGTGTCAACGGTGATTCGATTGTAGTCCAGGGTCTATACTATCTTTTTTTGACTTTCTAGGTGAAGATAGTTGCAGTTGATTTGCAAGCCATGGCTCCCATTCCTGGTGTGATTCAAATTCAAGGAGACATAACAAGTGGTGCCACTGCTGATGAGGTTATCAGTCATTTTGATGGAAAACTGGCGCAACTCGTGGTTTGTGATGGAGCGCCTGATGGTGCGTCATGTAGTCCGGTTTGAATTTCTATTCGTTTTTGTTGTTGCTCGACTGACTCCATAAAACACCTCTGATATTAGCTTTTTTGCTAATCCCGTCTCACAGGAGCAGTTGTTGTTGAGTAGATATCACACTTGTTCATCGATAACTTTACTTTTCTCGCTTATACGAAACTCTACAGTTCATTGATTTGATGAGTTGGTGTCTTCCGTTCCCAACCCTCTCTCTTTACCCCTCCTACCGACCTGTAATAGTCCCTCAAGCAAATTGGATGTCGCTCGCCAATGGTCATTGCCAAATAGCACTGTAAGGGATTTACCACGGAATGGATTGCAGATTCTAAAGCCTCGTTAACCACTTAATCTGGAGGCCTTCAACATGAGGACTTTGATGCAGCTAGGTCAGCAAGCTTGTCTGGCTTGTACAATGGAATCCTTAGGAATCGATATTTACTGCGTCGGAAACTCGGATCCAGGATCGTACTACTCTAAGCCACTTGAGCGCGCCAGATTTGTCGACGAGATACGTTCTTC